GTCAAGAGCGTATAACCGTGTTTGAGTGTAATAACAAACTTCAGTGCAAGCCTGTACGAGAATCAGAAAGTTGGCAAATTGTTGAAGTGAACGGTATTCACGCGTTTCTCGACGCATTTCAAAGTATACACGCTGTTACTGCAAGAAGAACAATACATACTTTTATTTATATTCAACGACAAATCATTGGCAAAGCAAGATGAGATGTTTAAACGTTCTTCTGTTACTTCTTCTCTCGGTAATGTCCGTCCATGCGGCAATAATGTCGGATTTTGAAGGTAGGTCTGTTAAATTATATAAAAAAAATATATTAAAACGTCGTTGATCGTACGAGTACACGCTCCCCTGTACCCTGACACCTGAGAAATGCACACCTCACACGTGTGACTTTATTGAATGTATCGGCGTAATCAACTTATAACATGGTAATCGAACTATACGCTTACAACGGGAGAGTGGCAAAATATAGTAGACGGCTCCAGTAAACACTCGTCCTCGGCACCGTTTTTTAGAAAACATCGAAACGATCAGGCACTTAGACTCGGATATCGTCCTCTGATAATGGATTTCCGCTGGCTCACAACACACTTACAACAACGAAGTTTTTGTTCCTGCCTGATTTCCGAATTGTTTTTTGCATTTTTCTTCGTCGGATAGATACGTAATATGCATACTCCTCAAAATAAGTTTCAATCTAAATATAATGCTAGGTAATGATGGCGGCGAGCTGTTGTCTTCATCGCGGTTTCAGAAACTTTAAGCTCAATTTCCGATCATTTTTTGACGATTGAATATTTATTGCAAATGTCGGTGATGACGCTTTTTATGGAAAAATACGCATTACATACACTTTAGTTTTCACTTCCCAACGATTCACAGTGCTTTTATGGAGAGCTACGCATGTGCAAGATGCATTTTGCAAAATTTGTTGTTGTTGCTGTTGTTGTTGTTGTTGTTGTTGTTGTTGTTGTTGTTGTTGTTGTCGGCGACACAAACAGTACTCACTACAGTAAGTTGTGAATTGGCCTGCTCGTCGCCCGTTCATTTATAGGTGGATTACATGCAAACAAGGAAAGGAAATTGAACCAGAAAATAATGTAACAGTACAACAATCAGTGTACTAGTAGCTTTTTTTTCTTGTTCGTGTTTAAAAAATTCATACAACCAATGGCGATGAGTACTGAAGGGATGCTTGTAAAACCCACAGTTTGAATTTGACACTGAGAGAAATGCCTACTATGTAAGTATTCGACGTAGTTTACGTATTCTGTGACACTAGTGGGTTTCGTATTGCCATCCCAATGTACACAACGAACGGCAAGATAGTATGGCACATGTCAGGTAATCTGATGGCATATATCAACACTGGGGGGGTCGACATTTCACGCTACAATTTAACACGTGTAGTTAAATATTTTAATGAGTTAAGTCGTGTCACTTGCTAACCAACAGCGGAATGACTGGCAGCTGAGACAAAATACCATTGCTGCTCCTTTCCCTGCAGCGGCGAGAAAAATGTGAACGAAGCGAGTGAGACATACCACAGCTGACCGATGGCCGCGGTTAAACATCATCATCATCTGTCCATCACATTGTCGTCGTTGTTGTTCGCAACTACTCCCCCTCCAATGTTATATTATTCGCTTTCTGTAGTTGTTTGAACAATTGTGCTAATACAAAATTGTAAATGTTAACGGTCGATCGATATATGTATAATCACACTGAGATTCCCCATGGCCACAAACATGACTGTGCTTCATTACTGGCACGAAGCTTGAAAACAAGAGACCGATGTTCATTTAATTTTTGAAAGAAATGTTTGTAAAAAATGAATAATTTCATATTTTAAAGAGTTTGGATGTCAGTAGTCCTAAGGGCAAAAATGGTACAACACAATCCTCCTAACCTAAACCTAAAAATGCTTTTAAAATGATATTCATGCGTTCGGCATTAATCGGTATTCTTCGGCCCAGCGCTTTCCCCATCATTCATTTCGCGCGATGCGCGTTTCATAATTGCGTATTTCAGTAGTGTTTTAATACTTTCTATTTCTCCCCTGTTACAGACTATCTTGCAATGATTGAGAGCGACCCAACTGACGGGGACGACGAAGACGGGAGTGCTCAGACAGACGTCGACGCGTTTATCAGCGACCACACCGGTTCCTGAGCAGAGCAATGTACCACGCGGGACGACTTGTTGCGAACTGGGTCGTCTCGCTGGCGTCGGTGGATTCCATTGTAACCCTGAATACTACAAGCCCCGCATGTTTATCAGGTATGTGAAATAAACCTAGTATCACAAACATTTGCCGTTTATGTGTAGTTGCTCCATTTCTAAATGGACGGTGGTCGTCGCGCAAGCAGCAGGTCTTCGAATATCGTGTAAGCGTGACGACCTCCACCCTTTAAAGGACGTCGCACAGAGCGTAAACAAACAAACAAACAAACAGTGTATTTTACACGTGTTGCATACGTCACAATGTGTCCCATACCGAACACGACGCGATGCGACGACTGTAGTGTTTTAAAGCGGGAGTGTCGTCACCTGCGCACGCGCGGGAATTGAGTTCCAAGCGACGATACCAACACACGCTAAATACGCAAGGGCTCATGGGTAGACGCTTGTTTGTACACAATGACACGCTATGGCCATCTGACGCCTGCGCAGGTGACGATCGACTCCTTCGCTTTAAATCTAGGCTCCAAAGCGGTTCGGGGTCCGTGTATTAGTAATCAGTACGCGCAACATGTTGGCGTAACAATGATCGTCTTGAATGTGAAAATCAGTTTGTTTGTAATTACTAGCAATTATCTAGTTTAATAGTCAACAGTGTACGGATTTGAAAACCGTGTTGGCATTTTTATCATGTGTACATTCCATTTCAGAAATATGGGCTATTGTGGTCTCCGTTTCTAAAAAAAAAAGACCGTCATTTTCACTTTCGTATGTTGTATTCGCACTTACAGAAATAGAAATCGTCCTCACAACGCGAAGATGCGCTTCCACGAAGAAAACGACCAGCCTCTCAAGCAGGGATACTCGTTGATGAGACAGTTCTGGAAGTGCGTGGGTGGGTTCAGCTTGAGACTCGAGAATGAGTTTCACAAGTGCTGCAAATCCGCGTACATGGAGCAACAAAAAACAAGTTTCCGCGAGAGGTCAAAAGTCGACACCGAGGGCGCTTTAAAACACAGCAAGCATCGTGATCGAAACGATTATGGCGACCGTGCAAAGGAAGAAGAACTTCTTTTAATTCAACGAGTCCATAACGACCGAGTGAGGGAGGAAGAGCTACGTTCAATGCGGCGAAACCATGACGACCAAGCGAAGGAGGAAGAGCTTCTTAGTATGTTACGAGGACATTATTAAAATGAGACTTTATATACCTATAACTGTGAATAATTGTGGGTTAAAAATCATCACATTAACAAATTTTATTTATTTTTAAAACGTTTTAGTTGAATTATTGAGAAAAAAAACACATTTAAAACATTTCCATCAAATTATACATGATTGAACATTAATTCTGACTTAGACTCTAAAGTACGAGTGTCGCAACTAACAATAGCTGATGATGGCGCTGTTGCATTGCTATAAGCCACACTGGTAGATTGAGGGCGCTATTCAATTGAAAGAACGAGCTCATTAATCCTATGTATATTTATTGACTCTTTATTTATGAGACTTTACAAAAATATATGTATTGTTGAGATTTTATCTTTAGGGCATTTTATGTAATTCGTCCAGTCTTACTGGTGGAAGCCTAGGTTGGATCGGTGAAATACCTAACACTGTCAACTGGATAAATAAAAATTGAATTGATCTGAGATGTGATCAAGTTAGCCTGACATGTAGGCGTGAATGGTGCCCTCACCGACCGAACGGCATGTTGGGTTTGGAGCACTGCGGAGGGCGCAGCTCACATGATTTTGTCAGGCTATGATCAAGTTGGTAGAACACGTTAGACGAATATATAGACACCTAGGGGGTGGAAATTATATTTGTCGATACCTAGGACTCGAGTTTTGGAGAATACCGAATATTCAAAATGGTTATTTCGCAGCTAAATGAAACTTGACAACGTTTCACTCAATGCCGTATTTCCTACATGTCTTTTAGTCAGGGGTCAACGAAAAAGCTTGTGGTTTGGGGCACTATTGTTGAATCTACTCAAAAGGGTGGATTTATTGTAAAACATATACTTCCATAGTGGGTTCTGTTGACGAATGTTATTAAATTATTGCCGTACAAACACATTCCAAATTTCCCTTAATAGTAAGTTGTGCTATTCAAGCTCCAACCCGAAACCAGAAAAGAGTATAAAACGACAACGTAAGCATATTGATTGACCTTGACATTCGGATTTTGATTGTCAGGATATCACTAAATTGTTGCCATAACTGTCCCGTACATTTGTCGTCAAAGTTCAAGGCTCTGGGATTGCAAGCTGGAAACGTGTCAGCACATATTTACTCTAATGCTTTCAAGTTGATGACGTGACGTGTGTGAGTATTTACATTATTGAAATGTGAAATAAAACATGTAATATAGACTGTGGAATAAATCATGTAATATAGACTATAAAATAAAACATTGCAAGTTTCTAAAAGTGTTATAATTTAGTCAACACCAATTTAGTAGACAACCCTTGTTAGTCAAATATGATGATGACGTCATGACTAAGTGACAAGATGAAAACCTCATTATC